TTAGTAACTTCTGTTTGGAGAAGCGAGGGCGAGATATTGTTCTATACCTTTAATTGGCCCAATAGTGGCTAGTGTGGATTCGGCGGCCGGTGTGTATACATTCAGGTTGCTACTGCTTGGACCTTTGGTAAAGCCGAAAACCGGTTGCGATTTGTCACACAAGGAGGGATCTACACGAGTTGGATTGAATATGACCTTCCAGCCTTGACGGCAAGGCTCCAAGGACCAGAGGCCAATAAGACTGTTGGAATTTCGACAGATTAAAGATAAAAAAAAAAACTCACTGTTATCTCTCAAAGCAACTTGCGTACCATCGTGTGCGTAGGTTTTTTGGGCTATTATTGCCCACCTCGCCTGGTAACATAAAGGGCCAACACACATACATATGTATATGTCGATTTTTTTTCTTTCGTAGACAATACAGACGGATATATTCCACTACGAGTACGATCACCGTACGATTCGAGTTAAAATTCACCTCTCGTTGGTGGTATTCTCTGCCAATACAAGCTTTTCGGAGGCTTTCATAGAAGTCTCAGCGGCACCATTTGGCAGCCACACAGTTCAGTAAATACGAAATCAATCCTATACTAGAATGGGCAGGAACAGCATTCGCCCATCCCACATCTCCGTCAGCTAGCTCTTATCCCTACTTGTATTTCTACGATCACTAGGGCAGGCGGCTGAGTAGCCAAGATTCACTGTTGACAGGCTTATTCCTTGAGAGAACGTTGTCTCTTAAGAACAATTCAGAGAGCAAACGCATTTCGCGTATTGTAGGTTCGCAGTTTGGCTATTCTACGCAGCGTTTTAACGCTAACTAAAACAAATGAGCCCAATCGAAAGAGATTTTTGACATTATCAGAAAGGTTAAGTTGTTCAAAACGACCTTACTGAGCTTTTCCGCCAGTTTTAGCACCCCATCACCAATATGACACATGATTTGTAACATCGTTCACTTTTCCCTTCTTACTTGTAAATTAGCGGTTTCATAGTTCACATTAGCGTTCTCACAATACTCCAACCAATGCCTTTTGCAATTCGTTTTCTGCTCTGCGGTCTTGACAAAATCTCTTCTCAAGCATTTGATAGTCGACTATCTTGTACGTATTCCGTTGTACACCAGCGTAGTATTACCTTTGCGGCAGTAGCGGCGGCAATCGGAAGACAGCCACTACTTACAAACATTTAACAAATAACGTAACGCACAACTGGGACTAGCGGCCGCAATAATAGCAGTGGGCAAAACGATATATACAGCTCAATCAACCACTAAGCGTTTGCGTGTACCACCTTGTTTAGATGCGTATTTGTTTATGCAAGTCACTACTACAGCGACTGAGACGACGGGGGGTGAACGGGGTGGTGGAGAGCGTGAAAAAAAGGGAACTGAAAAAAGCGTAACGAAACAGGAAAGCAAACGTAGAAGTCAGCCTCGATAACTTCTTACGCGACGTATAGTTGAGCGGCGGTCGCCTGTCGCTACGAGGTTCGGCTGGACAACGCTTTGCACAGTCCGTGACCTATACATTATTCCTACTAGAAACGGTATATACATATATGTGTAATTGTTCTAGTTAGAGAGTGGACGAGTGACTTCATCATATCCACATTGGATTATTGATCTCTAGTCACAGTTCATTCTCTGCTTCACGCTTTTATCTTACCGTTAAGGCTTTATTTTCTAAAGGGGCAGATTGGCTTCGCTCTCCGAATTCGATTTGGACGTCGATCGACTTTTTACTGACAACTGAGTCGCCGTTCGGTTCATATATGAAGTTGGGAGGAGCTCGAACCTCAAACCAAATTTTTGGACATAAGATGGTCGAAAATCGAAAACGGACACCATCGTCTTTCGAAAACATCACGAAGTATTAGACTCGCCATCTGATGCCTGTTATTTCAGACCAGGAAGCTCAGTGCAAAGTAGTGCAGACAATTCAGGCGGTGCCCGGCTCATTCAAACGGCCACCGGAAATCGCGCGGAGATGACTGACTGAGTGACTTGGGAAAGTGAGACGCAGTTCTTCTTCGACGTCTCCGTGGTCAAAAAAAAATGCAGTCAAAAAAGAACGATGGGATGTTCGCCCTTCTGTTCAGACTATTTCTGCCACGTCCATGTCTTTTGCTTCCAGCGTTACCTAGTGCTGCGCTGTTCCCGCCTCTGGGGTGGAAGCGCCTTGTCAGCGAATCCAGTGCGTATGACTGCCAAAGCGAAACCGTAGACCCTGCCGCTGCTTCGATGGCACTTGAAGTCAGTGCAAAGAAGTAGGAGCTGCTTCCAACCTCGAATTCTTCACCCGAACTCTTTTGCCCAAGTACCCCCCACCCTGCCCCTCAATCTATAGATGCCCTACATTTTTTGCCTACTCCTAATCTCGTATTGTCGTCATTCTTCCACCACCGTTCAATTTGGAGACTCGCGCGAGTCGACTGGGCACATGCTCGATGGCTTCCCTGAGTAGAGAGGCACCCACTCCTACAACTCGTCAACAAGCACGAGCGGCGCCGCCATCATCGCTACTGCAAGAGAGAATCAGTCATCGAATGCCAGCTGTTAACGATGACTCCAGCGGCGATAAAAAGTGGGTTGCAGCATTTGCTTCTCACAGCAGCACAATGCTAACTGCCGAATGCTGCGCGACCCGATCAGTAGTTGACAAGGCAAGGGACGAAACAGGTCAGTTCGGCTGAGCTGCTTTCACCGTAGCTGTTCAGAAACGTTTAATCAATTTTAGTGGTAGTAGTTGTAGAAGCACTAGTTAGTGATTCGTTTAGCAGAGGGCAGCCAGGCGAAGCCAGCAAGCAAGTGATGATGTCGCTAGCGATTTCCATGGCGGGGGCGACATCGATAACAGCATCATCGGCGTGATGATAAAGAAAGACGAAAAAAACAACGATTCAATGACTGCCAGCAACCACCTTTGTTCGCTCACTTAGTGGTATTGAACAAACGCTGTCTCGGTGGAACCCTACGAAACATGCCGCCACCTTAGACCGAAATCGGACATCTCTTCCGACCTGAACTGTCGTGTCGAAGGGTTCTGTCTGCGCCGTTCTATGGGTCGAGCAAAGCACGAGCGTTCGAGTGGGGGGTGGAAGTGGTGAGTCCTCTGGATCCAAAAATATTCGCTAACTGTATCTGCCGTACCTGGAATCACTGAAGTATCCGCCGGTGCCTCCGCGATCGCCATCGACATCATTACTCGAGTCCGCTGCACGAGTTCAAATGCACCGCTGTCGATTCCGTCGATCTTCCGCCGATCTTTCGCCGAGCTGACTTCGTGTGTTTAATGTAGAAATGTACTGCCGCTTATGACCAGCTGTCTAACTAATAGTAAGGGCGATAAAGAACCGGCGGTCGCGGAGTACGGTACAGGACTGTGAGAAGTGGCTTCGAGTGAAATTGACGACGATGGCAGCAGCACTGCAAAGAAAGCTGTCTCCGCTTTCGATGAATCGATTGCATCCGAGCAACAGGGGCACACTCATTCAAGCGGCGTCAATAGCAGTAGCCGCGATGGTGACGTATTCCCAGACGTACTCCCATCCACCCACTAGCACACACGCACACATCAAAACCCAAACGCCTATGTACCGTAAATCTATAGAGTATGGTGGGACCCGACCGGTTGGGTGGTCGGTCGCCGCCTGCTTTCATATTTACACCTATTCCGCTTGTCCCTTGTGCCATTGCTAGAATTAATTGTGTCAGGGGCTCGAGAAGAGGCCAGGGATGTGGACAAAACTCGGCCCTTTCATTCTTACTTCGAATTTTAGTGTGTAATCTTACGACCGGAGGTGGAAGAGGTGGTACGTACGAATAGAACTCCAGCAATAGGAGCAGCTGTCGTCTCAAGATTTAGATGGCGGTTCCATCGGCACCCGGCTAGTCTACTTTTGACGTTTCTGCTACAGTGTACTATTCTATTCTTCTTGCCCTTCGTCGTCGTCGTGTTCATCTTTTACCTTCGTCTGAGTTCTTTTTCTCTGTATTTTATCTATTGTCCTGCAGTTTGCGCGAGGCGATACCAAATGCTACTGTTGCCAAAAACAGCGATGTATGAAGGAAAAATTCGGTGACTTTTTCGTTTTTGCTTTTCCGCGCCTTTCCTTTTGTGTCTGACGAATTCTTATCACAGCCTATTTTATTTACTTTTTTTTTATAGTAAGCGTATAGCAAAGTATGAAGGAGGGCAGTGTGCATCAAGCAACAACAGCGAAAAGCAGCGAATTCAACTGAGGATTGAAGTTCTTCGGGAGTAGCATATTCACGCATGCTCGTTTGGCCTGATACCGCTACGGCGAAAAGGACTTTCTACGTTGAGGAAGGGGTCCCCCCCTCTGTTGCCGGCTCCAACAGCCGTCTCCGCCATCTCCCCGTCGACTATCTTCGTTACTCCCGGTACCCTGCTTCACTAGGTTGCCCCACAATCATCGAACCGATTGAAATTCCTCTACCTGTTCGTCTTTGTCTCCTGTACCACCTCGATTTGCTGTTGTTCTTCCACCACCGCCGCTGCCGTTACCGGCGTTCCTGCTACTGTTACCGCTGCAGCAGATCTATGGGAGCTCCTGCCGGGGCAAACGTGCGAGTTGTCTTCTACTTCGCTAGCCTGGCATTTCTACTGGAGATGCTGCTGAGGCTGAGGTCAACCAACCCATGTCCAAATTTAGGTCCTCTCCAACTCATCTGCGACTCCTAGCTTCTCTTTCGTTTTTTAGAATCTCTCTTCCTGCCCGGCTGCCGAGCGTCCCTCGTGACACTGTCGCGGCCACTGCAGCCGCCGTTGCCGCCGAGCGACATTAAGATCAAATCAAATCATTCTGAACGCGTGACAGCACGAAGACAAAGAGAAAGACAGGGTGACTTACTTGTATGTTTCTGTCTGCATGGCCGACTGTTCAACTGCCCGCCAGTCCCTCCGCTGGCCTGCTCGCTTACCGGCTTGTCCCGAATGAATGAGACTGAACGATATGGGCTGATTCTAAGCAAGAGACAGACGAACTGGACGGGTCGAGCCTAAGGCCCGTGTTCCGTCCAAACCCAAAATAGGGACATGCATGGATTTACAGCTGCAGTAGTCGAGACTGAGACAATACGAGAGGCTTGTGCGGACCACCATCACTGTCAACTGTACGAAGCTCAATAGCAACGGAACCAGTAATAGCAGTAGCAGGGAGGGCATCGCAGTGGAGATAACACAGATTTGATTTTCACCAGAGCTTCCAAACGGCCCCATTTCCACTTACGTGGCCCCTCACGCAGTACTAGCAGCCACACATACAATCATACATCTAACAGCCTATAAACTTCGTATATGGGACTGACATATTTTTCCCACTCAAGTGCCCACTGCCTGCGATTGACTTCCCACAAGTGCCTACCTACGTACGTCCTAGATAGCAGCAGGGCTTTGCGTATAAGAAAGTACTTCTGCATCAAATTTGGGGCGTATTCTTTCTACTCTTAATGAATAGAATTATAAGTCTGATTGAAGACTGCATACAGACGTGATCACAATATCATTATAGGCGAGAATTACATCAGTCGATGATAAGGACTGATGCTGCACACTCAATAGCGCATATAGGCCAAAAGTATGAAATGACCGGGAGAGTTTGATATATTGTTCTTATTAGGGTAAATATTTCTTTATCCATAGAAAGAAAATCTTAATTGGTATTTTACTAAGTTCATGATATCAACACGTTTAAATTTCAGTATTAGAGATGTGTAGGTCACAAGTATAGATGAACCCTAATGTCGTACATCATGGTAAAGAAATATGTCCTTTTGCCTTTTCCCGTATACCTGTATTAACGTGAGACATAGTAATGATACGAATGTAAAACACCTCCATCAGCTATAATTTTTCACAGCATTCGTATTTCTGTTGCTTCTGAACTTTAGCATAGAGAATTTCTAGAAGCTAGATTCCAGAAACATCTAAATATCTCACATATAGTACAACTGTGTGGTCCGCAAGCGTGAGATCCCCGCTCAACGGAAGATTCGATTCGTTGAGTTGGTAGAATTTCATCGTTTTCCCACTTCAGGTTCCCCCTGACGAAGTTAATTGCGATCAGGAGGAGAGGCGAAAATTGCCAAGGCGTCCTTTCCAAACAAAGGAGTACTGTGTACAGTAAATACATTGTCAGTATAAGAATCTGGCCAGCTCATATGTAGGATTAGATGGAAGAGCAGGCGGGGGTTCAGTACAGCTCATCTCAGAAACCGTGCCCCAGCCTGCGGCGCGCACCCCTCTTATCCCGAAGGAGGTAGTCAGGTATTTATTCTTGGGCAGTTTCCACACTTCACTGCTAACCAATTAAATCGTTTTTCCTCATTTTGAAGAACTCTGACAGAAGGCTGAGAAACATAAATGAACTAACTCACATTCGACTAACGTAAGAGTCCTGGCTGTCCGTAGGCTTAATATAATATAACAACGAACAGAAGCCTGCTGTCAGTTGGGTCGTAGTTTGTTCTATAGGGAATTGTTGGGTTTTTTTCGAACACCTCTCTATCTCTGCGTGATTTTTTTGTTCCTGCATACTTTACAACATGAATAAGATTTGAGAATTAACAGATTCCTTAGTAGCTGCTGTTTTGGTATAATCATGCATGTGTTCCATTAGTAAATTTCCCCACGTGAAACGTTCTGCTGTTGCTGCTAATGCTTATTGTAGTAGTGAGCACGATAAAATGAATGATGGTTACTAGGTAGAACCACAAGTGATTTGGGGGCTTAGGAGGCTTCATCTGTGCACCCCTGTACCGTGTACGCCTGGGTAGAGCGCTGCGCCCTTGTACGAGCTTTAGTTGCTACCAATACAGTTAGAAAGTATTAAACTGCCTCTATCGTGTATTCTTTGTAGTTAGCGCAGCTGTTACAGGCGCCGCCGCCGCTCTGAAGGCCAGCGTGAGTTTCATATTCATATAAGAGCTGCTCTTCCACGTGCACAGTCGACAGTTACTACAAATGGCTTTTGCAACAACTACCTACAAAGAACTATTGCAGCAGCAGCGGCAGCGGTAGTCGCAGCAGTAGTAAAGGCACGGTCACACTGCCTGCGGCCACGCATGTGATGCGGCATTCAGGGGCTCCAATCTACATACATTAATTGCTCTGTGCTCTGCGTGACGTACCGGTCAAGTAACATTCACTTGTTGGACCTCCAGCATCACCAGCGTGACTCAAGGCCCATTCGTTGTTTCGCCTGCACATTTGCCTGCGAGGGGCTTCCATTCGTCGTGGCGGCCAGGACGACGGGCAGGGCGGAATGGACAGAAGTTTAGCACTTTCGTTGTCATCCTCCTGTTTAAAAAGTCAGCGTCGACCGACACAGCTGCAACGAGCTGCGCATAATCTTGATTCGAACTTGGCTTAACTCGTCGTCGTTGATGTCTTAGCGAGTAGTAGCCGGTCACTGCTGATCAGACGCAGGACGTATACTCTTTCTCAAGTCGTCACTACCAGAGAGCAAAAAAAGAAGCAGGCAGACAGCTAGCAAGGTTAGGAAGCTAATGACAGGCAACAGGATTGGCGGTCATTCTGCCAATTGGGTTTTGTAACGTTATCTAAGACGACTTCGAGGGTTTACTTCGTTGCATACAAACACAGAGGTAGACAAACGGCAGAAAAACTGGCGCAAGTTTTCGAACTTAACTTGGTTCACTTACGGACACAGAAAGTGATGAGCGGATAAGCATGCATCGTAAGTAACTGTTCGTCATCAGCGGAACTCCCGTAACCGACAAATAAAGCCTCTTGGAAAATTTGGTGACGTCTCGTAAAATTCGAATTGAGGTTCAGCAAGTGGAATGGATCTTAATGACATCGCCAGGTAAGATTCGTTGCTAAACATCATATACATTCAGCGCGTTCATAGTTAAAATACTGATATCACAAAAGACTCCGATAATTATGCACGAACGAAATAACACAGAAGCCGATATTCATTTATTACCTGCAATCATAGCTGAGCAACTCTAGTTAGACCCATCAAACAAACGAACTTATTAAGTCTTTTATTCTACGTACATTCGTCTTGTTTCGCCTGCAGTTCTCACATCTCTGCTTTTCTGCGCATAGCGTACAAGATAACATCCGCGAACAACCAGCTAAGGTCTGTCCTGGATCGGATAGCTGCTTAAGGCTGTATGTGGATGATATCCCTAACTGGTAGTGATGCCTGGGGATATCCCGTCGTAGGGGGGCTGTGTGTAGCTAGACCTTTACGTAGCACCCCTCTTGCAGTTGTAGCACGGCTGGAAGAAGAGGTTGGTCCTCACTAAAAAATGACTAAGCGACTGTTCATATCCAGCGATAAAAACTGTCATTTTTCCTCTTTCTTGTTTATACATGTTTATTAATGCATGTTTAGTGACACTACAACGTTTTTTCCCTCTTGGTCTGTTTGCTTTTCCACAGATTTTTTCGGTCCTTCTTAGAATCATTTCTGTTTGTCATACTATTTTTGCCCTTCGCCCGGTCCTCTCGGCCGTCTTGTGCTTCGTGGCTTTTCTGCGAAAAAAAACGAAGACGATGATGTAGGCAACTGCGGCTATGACTTCTCGAAGCAGGTTACCACTCGACTCGTTGTCTTCACTGACTACACTAAACTTCCAACTTTGCTGCTCCGGTTGCGTCCATCCCCTTCGCGTCGTGCTCGCTCCGCCGCCCCTCTCTCTTTCTCTCTCTCTGCTGTCGCAGATAGCTTTTCCTGATGAGGAAATTGAAGGGAGAGTGACTAGTGAATTAGCAAGTGAGGGAACAAGCAAGCTAGGTGCCGAGCGACTAGCAGTAGTAGTAGCAGCAGCTGAAGCAATAGGAAGGCCCGGCGTCAGGCATGTGATGAAGAGGGCTTCCTTCGCGGAAGCTCTGCGCCGCCACTAGCGCTGCTGCCACCACTAGCGGCCGAAAGCCAGAGAGGCAGCGGCAGCCAGCTCGAGGGCTGCTCGATTTGGCTATCCCCTCGATTCGTGAGGTGTTGATGAGATTTGCAGATTAATTGTCCATAATAGACACACTCGAACCGACCGTGATGGTCCTAGTTATGCCAGCACTGGCCGGGACAGCCACCGCCATCGCCACAACCAACGCCACTGCGACCAACGTTGAGTTCGCAAAAGTGGGGCACGAAGACACGGCTCGGCGCTGTCCTCCTAGCTCTATTTGCGTATAATGCAAGCAGTAGCAGTAGTTGTAGTCGTAGAGGACGCGTAAGGGAGATAGGGGAACGAAAAGGCCCAGTCACCTTTCTTGCTTTGTCCTTGCCACCAGCCCAAAAGTAGTCCATAGAACCCCAGAACGTTAGCCGTTCTCCCCGCTTACTTATCGTTAGTCACATAGCTCGTCATAGAAGATCTCCTGTAGTAATTGCCACACCCGTTCGCAACACGCTTGCACCCTTCCGTTCGTTCAGCCTTTGCCAAAAGCAGAAGAGGGATGGTAAAGTGCAGGGGACTACCAAAGCGACACAGCGACGCGTTATCGTAGGAATGCCGCTAGCGGTGCCGCTTCCGCCACAATCGCCACCGGGTGTATGGATTTCGTCGGGCTCAAGTATTTGGAAGAAACACGATGGGAACTGTGCAAAGGAAATGGCTCAAACAGCTGCTGGCATCGAGAGAAAAGGGGGTGCTAGGGGAGAAAACGAGTGTAAAGTTGTGTTCCTGCTCAAGAAATAGAGTAAAATGGTAAGAAAAACCGTTTGCTTCTGACCAGGACGCGCAGAGAACGCCAGATTAGAAACCGCTGTTCTCACCATCAACTAAGCGTAAGGACGTTAGACCAAATGAGCACGCGCGCAAGAGGGCAAAAATGAAAAGGGACAAGTAAGCGAAATGAATTAGCTAACAACGAACTAAACACAGAAAGAAAGTGGATACGCTGACGCCCTTGCCGCAGCCTCTGCTAAAAGGCTATAGCGGATAACACATCTACTTCTGCGATCCATATCTTGTTAGGATGCAGGAGGTGCGTGTCCAAGAGGGTCCGCTACTACCGTTCTGACAACCTCTTCTGCTGCTGCCCTTCAGTGAGAACCCACGGAGGGGTTCACGCCTATGGTTAAGAGCTTGCGAGGTACAACCCATAGTTTGTTTTTGCTCTCGTTTTGCTTTTCAGTTTTCTATAATATAGCGAGCATGAAGGGAAGAAGAGCTGATGCTGGCTAAAGGAGCGGATCAAGGCATGTTCAGGGAAGGTGGAAGAAGCTGCTACTCTTATCTTCCTTCAACCATCGCCATGCATCGAGGGACTGTTGGACCTCTATGCTACTTAATACTATTTTCTAACCGGTGCTAAGGTGCTGTCTTATACCCTTAAAAACATACATATACACAAACGCACACACGTAGTCAATAAAAACACACATTCTCCACTGTTAACAAAACAGCGTTTACCTGTAGTCGCTATCGGTAGAAAAAATCGTCAGGAAAACGATAAGATTCGCCAAATAATAATGCATTGGCTATGAGACTGATGCTTGAAAGTCGTTCTTGTAGCTGCGATGCATCGCTCGATAAGTCGCGACACCGCATCGAGCTAGTCGACACTAGATTAGAACCTTCAAAACGTGCGTCTATTTGGGATGACAAAAATTCTTGGTGAGAAACGTTTACTGGCAAGAAATTGGACAACAGTTCAGTAGGTCGAATCTTGTGTGAAGCCTGTGAATCTCGTTGGATGCCTGTGGTAGTGCCATAACGGCCAGTTTTAGGCGTCTAAAGCTACAGTCGTACTGTACATCGAATGTTTCAGCAGTTTTCAATAAAAACCGCGTAGTGGCTGTAACCGATCAAGCCGCTGAACATAAATAGCACAATAATTTCTCTATGAATGCAAGGATTAGCAAAAAAAAACTACTGACGATTCTTCTACTGAACCAACATCAACGAAATTACCTACAGCCGCAACTTGAAAAAGTTATAACCTTGAAAGGGCATATATAATAGGTTTGTAATGGCTGTAAGAGCAGCATTAGCAATAGATATTAGGCGACGTTAAAGATCCGTTTGGTTTACAGGTAATGAAGACTGGTGAGGAAAAAAACAAAAACATGAAGCAACGAGCAAAGGCTGCCGCTCCAGACGCTGCCGCTGCCATCGGATCAACGCCAACAAGGATAGCGGGTAATCTATATGGAACAACAAAGGTGGTCACTCTTGTCGACATCGATAGCACTAGCGGTGCCGCATGATTTAAACGTGAGGCCGACCAGATTGAAGGGGCATATACAGAGCCAGACATGTTGAGAAAATGCAAAAAAAAGTGTCACCGCATTGTAGCGAGACTGCTTGCACTACCTAGCTGCAATGAAGATTTAATTTAGACCGAGTAAGAGGATCCTATTCTCAGACTACCTATCCCAAAATGGCTTGCCCATTTGGAGAATTACCTATCCTAAAACAAAAGGAACTAAGAGATCTAGTGGATTTGGGGGGGGGGGGGGGGGTGTAGGACTTGAGGGTACCCACAGCTACGCTGGGCTGCCGAGACAGGCAGTAACTCCGACAGGCCAAGACTAATTCGAGCAAAAGCAAGTCGCCCCCGACGATAAGTTTGCGCCCAGCTTCCTTGCAAGCCAACATGTCAGTCGGGTATGCAGACGGTGGGTTTCCCGGAGACGCTTTTTATCACATCGCCATGGCCGACTTTGATTTGGCCACTTCTCTTCGACGTTCAAACAATGTCAGGCCCGAGTCGCTCAGGTTAGGCTAGCCGACTGTAGCAAAAAGAGATAGCTCCGACTGCCCAAGCTGTCAATACGAATAGCACGAAAGAGCTACAGGATGGCTAAATACCAATAGGCGAAGGGGCAATACATGCACTTAGAGGGCCACACGTTGAAACTCAAACCAACAGGGATACAGGATAACAAACAGACATTCCCAAGTAGAAACCCACAATCAGCTAGCTAGCAGGCCAGACGCACGTACGCCAGCTTCCCCTCCCGCTGCCAGTACAGCTACTATGATCCTTTAAGCATAACAGAGCTGCTGTTGTCTTATACCGCCAATTCGTCCTTTATACACGAGCTTCGAAACAACTTCGATTGCCTCTGAAAACGGTGTCGTCTCGTGTCTGTTGTTCATGGGTGGGGGACGCAAAGGGCTGGCTGAAAACCTAGGAAGGAAGGTGAGAAATGATTAGGTGATTAGGGAGAAGGAAGAAAGCCATTTCGGTGCGTTTCAGAGCTCAGCAGGTTCGGAAGAAATCCACAAGTAAATAAACCGTGCAACAAAAGGATTTGTCACCAATGAGTAAGATTTCAATGAATGCTCGCCGTTATATTGCGCGAGGAAGGGGGTTAGCCTTACTAACAATACTACTACTGCCGCTGCGGCGGCCCGCCGGTGAGTGGCGTGACACGTTTGTGGTACTGGTGCCGATGTCATATGGCAGCGCGGCGGGGAAGTTCTGACGGCGGTCCAACTCACAGATATTCGATCATCAGCGGTAGCGTCACTACCTCTATCGCCGATGCCGTTGCGCTCTCACTGCCATTAAGGTTATTTCTGCAAAACGATTGTTACACAAGCTGCTCATTACTGGTGTTCTGACTGCAATGGTTACTACGCACAACTATTACCGGTGTCGTATGCCAATGCTTCTTTTAGCAGCTAGCTTCATTCTACCATAGAGGTGAGCGTCACTAACCCAGGATTGTTGTCTACGCCAAGGGCGTAGCGCTCGGCTGTGTCATACAACTTGACAACGAACAGCGGCAGCAGGGTAAAAGGCGAAGGTACTAGTGATGGGCGAATGTGGTAAGGGCAGAGGCCATTCCTCCCAAAGAAAAAGGTCCATTCAACTTGCGTTGCGTTACAACGCAGGTAGATGGATTCGTAGGTTGTAGTTGCGGCTGCATGCGGTTAAAGCAGGTCCTGCAAATCTCTTTCTGCTCCTTCTCCGCCTTCCTACAGCAATACAGTGAGCAATACGAGACGAAGCTAAATGGAGCTTGGTTCTATGGTGTGGTTTGTGTCCCCCTAGGAAAAACCATCAGCTGTGGATGGCAGTGGCAGCAGCGAAGACGGCAGAGGCGCAGCGGGGGCAAACGGGTGGTAAGCGATCGGCAGAAAATAGTGAGAAGAAACAAAACGACACAAACGGATGGACAAACCAACAGAGAGGTATGCAGATTTAGCGGTCTGTTGTCGTCGTCGAGTTTCCCTCCTACTGGCACTGCTATCATCATCAGTGACGCTATTACGAGGGGACTTTTGGGGCACGGGGGAGATGTCGGGCCCGCAGACGGCGAAGGGCTGCTTGATGAGGCAGCTCCCACTCGTGTGACAAGATCGCAGACGTTGCTCTGGTGTACTAGAAGCAGCAGCAACAACAGTACTCTTATCGTCGCGGGAGAGCTCCCGAAAGGGGAAAGGAAGCACGTCACTCCCCCGACGGGCAGGGCGCGATTGCAGCTGCTGCCGTTGTTCTGCGGATATCCAGTAAACATGTTCGCTGCCCTCACTCAACCCCCTTGTCTCTGTTACTGTGAGGAGCGCGATGAGACACGATGCCAACGATGTCTGGCACCATCCTTTCCTCTCTTTCGAGTTCCCGAGGGCAGACAGCAGACAAGGAAGAAACTGGCGTCGTTGGTGGCTTCTAAAAGGAAAAGAAGAGCGAGCGAAAGAAACAGCAGAGAACGCGCACATAAGCAGGCGATACTAGATCCAACGATGCAACAGCTTTCAGTGTGGTTTGTACATCAATAGATAAATGTAACAATTTCCGGTCGTTTCGCCCCCACCGGATCGCTCTTTACACTCACCTACCACAACAGTCGGCGTCCTGTGACACTATCGCGCATGGAAGCAGAGAAGAGGAAAGGGAGTCTTTGCCTGTGCTAGGTCTGCTAGCTGACAACAGCACAGATTGACTGATAGAACCTTTTGACAAAAATACGCACACATATACACATCCACACACTCACACACACAGACCGTGGCAACGGCGCTCATAATAGTGATCTATGCTATGATCAGACGAGTAACTCGGTAGAATTTTTGACAACGAGCAGAATAGAAAGAAAGGACGTTCGTTTTCTGTGTTCGACACGTTCGCGCGAACTTAAGAACAAGTGAGCACCCGCAGCAGCGACCGTGAGCACTAGAGCCGATTTCATCCTATCGTTGTATCATACGTAGTGTCCTGTTTGCGGTGCGTAACGTCGTGTTACAACGTGCTCTGATGGGACACCAATATAAATGGCTCGTTCCATTTGCATGCTGTGGCACACCCATACGCACACAAACACAGCTGAACTTTTCACTCACCTTGAAAACCCCCTGTTCTGCACGTGGCACTCTTATCATCAGCCAATCTCGGCGCTCTGTTGTTGTTATTGCTGTTGTTGTCGCTACTATGATGTGATCCAAGCAAAATAGTCATTATGACCGTTAGCCAATTCTATGGTAGATCGACGCACTTGACGCATGAACAGAACATTGTAAACTAGAGTTGACGACAGCTGACTCCTTGTACGTGAATAGGCTAAGCACCAATATATTGGAATAAGCAATCAGCACAACAGCGTTCAACCACGGTCGACTGTCGTTGTTATGATGCAAAGTATCATTGAAAAGAACTCGAGAGCCGTTTAAAAGCTTGTTTCGAGATACTGTGGCACATGAGACCTTGATGTGGAACACTGGCTCGGCAGTACCAGCCGCAGTCTAAGCAAACTGCTCGGTGAGGTGGACTTTTATAGGTTGGAGTAAGCAGCATCAATCTCTCCCCGATCTGATCCCCATCCTCTCACAACCCTCTCCAGAGCCGTCCTCTTTCCACTCCTAAACTCAGGAGTCTCATTGAGCTTCATACAAGCGAACGAAAGACTGGACTCGCGAACAGGAAAAGCACCTGAGGAGAGGCGAGTGAGGGCGCTTTGACCCTATGCAGACTCTCTCCTAAGAACATTCACTCGACTGTTAAACGGACAGACGAAGTAACTGACCGCCATTTGGTCTATAAAATGCTTTTTTATTTGAGCATGTGCACTGTTATATGGTTAAAAGAGCATATCGGTATAATGTAAGCGTAACATTAAGGAGTCGATGACTAACCTGTATTTAGTATATAGTTTTACGGAGAATTTTTATAACGCTTTTCTTTGAGAAATATTCGCTCTGAAATTGTTTCTCTGTCTGAACACGTTGCAATGACGGAGCATAGGTGGAGATGTTCTGCAAGCACCCTAATAGAAACCCTAAGCAGAAGCGAAACGGAGCGCGAGGACGGAGCCGAGAGCAATGAGGTGCGCTCGCACTGAGGTGCTTCCTCTCAGCCCGCCGGAAAGGCCCGTCCCCCTCTAACCCTCGGAAGCGCCAGCACCCAATTCCCCGGATTCTGCAGAAGCAGCAGCAGCAGGAGTAGCAGGAATAGCGGTCGAGGGGTGGCAACCGCACCACAATCATCATCGCCAGACGCTGGATGGATCCAACCGCTGAAGAGTTTGCCGACTTGCGTTTCCCTTTCTAGCAGCACGCGCAGTCACGCACGACATTGACCACCGAAACTCAGGGGACGAGAGAAGTCGAATGAGACAAAACGACAAAGACACAAGAACGCAAAGACTTAGAACAGCGGCAGTAGTGGCAGAAGCAGCCGTAAGCTTCTTTGGCAACGATCCTGGCAGCAAGGAGATGTGCGTTGGCGATCAAGTCTCAAAGATCAAGAATAAAAGATATGCTTTGTATAATAACCTTACAAATTATATATTTTCTTATATAATTTATATGTAAGTTTAAATGTTGTCATATATTTTATCACTTGGAAGATAGAGTGCTTTTATTTTTTTATGTCACGTTATAATTAATAGGTTTTTGCTGTAGTCAAAATGTCTAACTAGTCTAAAGTAGGCTCTAAATAGCGGTGTTCATCTTCACCTGTTTCGCCTTTCAAAGGCTCTAATTAATAGAAAACGGTATTACGATGAGATCGATAGCTGTCCTAGGGCAGAGACGTTGTCCACCTATAGCTCACTAACCATGCTTACTTTGGATCTCTATCAAACGAATATTATAATTATGAGGAAACACTTTACTGTGCTATCATTCCAAAAGCGTGAATTTAATTTAGTCGGTCCTACTAAATTGATTTAGTCGGTTTGGCATAGGCCAAAGTTCCCGACAGAAGTGTGTAGCGTTTCAAAGAGACAACGATAACGCAAAGACGTCGCTGATCTCTTCTGAATCTTTCAAGGTGAAAAGAAAAATCACCTAAACTGGGTATCAATTGTTGTAGCAAAGAATTGGCTGATGTCTCCAATTGAGAAATCGGCCATATTAATCTACGTCACTTAAAAGTAACTCAGCTACAAGCAATAATTAACATATTGAAGATAATTTTGTACGACGAACACTCGTTGCTAGGAACGCTCGTCTTTAGAACGAGATCTCTTCGGTCCTCGAAGGCACTCGTTCAATTGCTGCTTTTGTACACCTTTTTCTTCTTAAAACCTATATATATATATATATATATATATATATATACACATACATATAAGATCTCTATTGTTACCGATAGCATATTTTTTATCTATCTACAGTATATAATGAGGTCTTCAATAGATCTGTCTAAGCGATAATAATGGTTTTACAAGATTAACTGCTTTCGACATGCACACGCAGAAGGAACGCCTATTCGTATGTTTATTTTTTTTGTTTTTTGTCGATATCCCCTTAAAATGAAAGGGTTATTATTCTGTTATGTATTAGTCGACGAAGACCCGAAACATCGCACACTATGTTCAAAACCAGTAGCTGACGCTTACTTTTCTATGAGCCAAAAACATGCAGGTTATAAGTATCTGAGCTTTCACGAGGTAAAATTTTAAAAATGCTGACTTCGCTATCTTTGTTCTGCAGATACAGTTGTTAAAGAATTTGCATTTTATATGATCACTGTTAGGTCATAAAAAATACAAATTAAAAACCTGGTTGCGTTAAGCTATGTCCAATGCTTTTGGGCATTTGACAGGCAACGAGTAAAACATTTAACAGGATCATTGCAGCGTTTTGATCACAGGCGAATCTTATTGTACATCGATTCAACAGGATATAAGCACAGAAGCGTTCAATCTAATCATGTGCAAATAACTAGCGGTCACGAATGTTGAAACATTGCTACAATCCTAGCTGAATTCCGACTCGCATTTTTGATAAGTATTAATACTCTCAAAGACTTCAGAAGGAAATCCCCAGAAAGATATGTGCACTTAAAGCATTAGGAATATTTACAACAATTGTAGTTATACAGGACGAAAATCTCAAGGTTTATGAGAAAATGTCCTCCCGCTCTTAATACATACTCTCGGAAGACATAGCAAGCGTAAGTTCGCGAAAGATTATCTTGAAAATCGCTATTGTCAACTTAGCGCTTACAAAATGATAATACAAAAGAAACGTTTCTTTTTCAAGTTGCAGGAAATTGCAGATGATTAACTTATAACTCTAGTTTAGATAGCGTGTAATATACATAGTAGTACAATGATACCTAGAGCTAGAACTTACCTCAGATAGAACAACAATCTATCTTATCTATCTCTACCACATCAAAATAAATTGCATCTTGATCGTTTGAAAGAGGTTGATGCTGCGTTCGATGCCGGGGGCGCATCCACCGATGATTACTCCATGGCTTAATGAGTTTCCCTATAGCGGTGGGACATTTTTTCCGAGAACGCACCGAGCGTGACAAACTAAATGGCATACGTTGCTTGCTGGATGACTTGGTGAGCTCTGTGCTCTGAATTTGCGCGCTGGGCGGTCACACTCTCCTCCTGCGTATCCCATAACTAGACAAACAGGACTGCCTGTATACCTTCCGTTGCCCGTACTACTATTTTCCCCATGTCACCCTGCTAGTCGTCATCTCAATCAGGTGCACCCAGCAGAAGAGAAAACATTACTCTCGTCCCTCTTAGCTAAAACCATCCCTTCATGCTGTCATCGTCCCGCGCCGCCCCGTGATCATCATCATCAATCGTCGGCAGTGAGACATCGGGGCACTGGAGGTCAGGGGGGGGGGGGGGGATGGGGTACATATGGGGTTGCGTTTTGCATCATCAAAATCGCCGATTCTCTTCCTCCTGGGTTCCTCTCGCTTGACCCTTGCACAGCAAGTGGACTCATTAAAAAAGTCTGAAGGGAAGGGTGGTTTATAGGCAGTTGGCCTGCAGCTGCATGGCAATACATTGCAGATATCGCCTCGAGCAAATATGATCAAGCTAAAATGCCGGTCGCTTTGTACCTACATATCTAAATCTATCCGAATCTCTCTCTCTCTCTCTCTCTCTCCTGACCTTCTCTCGCTCTCCCCTTTTAGTTCCATGGGTTTGCTGTGCTTATCGTAGCACCCACGCGATGCTACCCCGATGATCAGCAGTCTATCAGAAATACAACAGGTCGCGACTACGTCGCTGCAGCGAAAGAGCTTAGAACGAAGCCTGTCGGCACCTGTTCGACCGGAAATAGAAGGATGACGAATGAGGCGTCGCCCGGTAACAAAGCTCACCCGGCTTTACTGGTCAATACACAAACTCCAAACAGCACTGCTGGCTAGAGCAACCCACGTAAAGTTGGAGCGAATTACAAACTACCTATTAGTCCGCGCGAAAACCAAGGCACCAGTGCATCGCTTACTGGCTTAGTACCATTATGCGCGGTATTAATACGTGCCTATCTGCTGGCCGAGGTGGTACAACCTGGCAGTCAAGCTGTGCGGCCGAGCGAGGAAAGGTCATCATGTCTTCTTAATTAAATGGTTGTGGATGTGCAGGCTTCGGTTTGGACGAATGATGGTCCTTCGTCGCAATCGACTTCGGCGTTGTCGCTCACAACACACGGTACACACGTACAGACGACAGACATATATCGATCTCACATAGCTGTACAGTTAGCGAGTCTACCACACCGACGACGATACGACAAATGTTAAAGTGAATGCAGAGGGCCCGTAGAAGCAGCGATCGAGACATACGACAATCACAAAAATATGAATCATATCCTTCGAAATAGCAATGAGACGTTCCACATTTGGGGTTATTCATTTTCTGCATCTGCCTACCAGTGCTATTAGGCCGCGTTGCCCGCTGGGGCATGGGATCAGCAATTTTCTACGATAAGTGTTCCGAGGAGAAGGAGGAGGAGGAGGAGGAGGAGGAGGCGGACAACGAGAATGCGAGAGCAACTTTTTTATTCGTCGATTTCTATCGTTCTCGAAATACATAGAAAGCGTTAAAGAAAGGGGGCGGCAGACTATAAGATCGATTCGCTAATGGATGGCTCTACTGATAGAGAGACTCAAGGCAACAGCGACGACGATCATGATAACACCAATGGCGCCGGACCGCCCCATCGCTCATTGCTGGTCTCGCAAAGCGACATGGTGCACTCGTTCGCTCGCGGCTACTGAAAAGAACCAGTCGATATTTTGGGAGTAGGCGAACAGACGCCTGAGGAGGACTTGGTAACCGTACTGAGCTTTGGGCTTGTGTCATACCAATAGCAGCGGCAACGCAACCATGAGCGCTTCATATAGGGAGAGGCCATCTGCGAATGGCTGGTGTACTAATGTGTAATTTTCTATTGGCCAACAGCGGCAACAGTAGCGATGGCGGCGGGGGGTCACCGCAACTCGGGAGCGCTTCCGTTCTGAGACAAAAGCAGGCGCCTCTAAAATACCATCAGGCCACTGCAGCACCCCACCACCTCTTTGTCTCCTTGCCTGTGAACGCTGTCCTCAGCCAATGCGCCCAGAGCAAATATTAGTTTGAGCAAATCACACCTTCAGCTCCGTCGCACAACTTGTACGACTGAGGTAGAAAAAGAACGCCGGGGTAAAGAAGCTGTTTTCTTCTATTGGTCATATTACGTCCCTTGTTAAAAGAACACGCGATAAGCAACGGGCGTCTCCGGGTCGTCGTCACCTTATGTCATTGATACATCTGCACCACCACTACTACTGCTACCCCGTGCCGTAGACAATCGGAGGCGCGCGCCTCTATGTTCCAACAGGCTTATTCTAAGTCAAGAAACACGGCCAATTAGTCGGTGTGTCAACGATTCTTCCACCCCTTTCTCCTGCACAGACAGCTTCCTTTTGCTAGTAAAAGGCATTTCCTTCGACCTGGATCACGAACGAGACTGAAAAGGCTTCTTTTTTGAAAAAAAGACTGCAGATTACAGTTGTTAGCTTTCATCCTTAAGAGACCCAAATCCAATTCACCAACTGCATAAGGCTCGTACTTAATATAGCACCTACATTCTGGGCCTTACCGCTCACGAAGCTTGAGAGCAGCTTGCCTTTCTGAAATTTGGCACAGATGTACTTCCAATTTCGAAGCCGCTTTTTGAGTGAAGTCTTACCAATGCCCAGTAAACTATTTTTACTAAAACTGAAAAACTGAATTGTAACCTGTACCCCGTTATCATAACTCTACAGTAAACGATTTTTTCATTTGACTGTTGTCGGTTGTGTTTCTTGCAGCCTCCTTCTTTTGAGAACCGTTTCAGTCGACTGCACGAACACCTGGAATCACACTGACCAAAGTAACAACACGCGACTGACCCCCTATTCAGAACTATCTTGATCATGTGTAACTTTGAGCCTCAAAATAGACCGATGTTTTCAGAAGAATGTTGAACTA